AAGCTTGTTTTAAAAGCGATAATAAATATTCTAAAATATTATTTCTTCTATTTATAAGAGATAATTTGTGTATACTTACAATAAAAATTATCTTATTAAATTGTTAGACTAAAATATAATAAAATAAAGATTTGTTGTTTACCTAGCCTCATATTACATGTGACTATTATCAATATGCATTTGACTACTTGAGCCTTCATCAAATGATCGATGATCATGCATCAACAATTGTTGAAATGATGGTTGAACAATTGGTTCTACAAAATGAGGTTGATTGATCGTGGTAAGGCCATAATTTTGAGCCAACAAATTCATGTGATAACCATGATGACCACTAACTTGAAATGCAACATTTTGGCCTGTCGATACAGTCTTTACATACATCTCCAAAACATTTATATCAATCTTATCCGCAAATTTTTGAGGTATGAAAAGAAATTGTAACAAAGATTGGTCATTCTCAATTTTAAACTCAATGAACCTTGTATTGTTACCTTGAATTGAACATGGATATTTCTGGGAAATATCCATATGAATATTTTCACTATATGTTCCCATTTTCTCATGTAACAATCCAACCAATTCAACATAGGTAGTTGAAGTCGACATGCTAATAATCGTTCTAGCACATTCAGTATACCTAAATCCGTTCATATCCGTAGTTATTTTTCCACCCCAATACAAAGCAACCATCACACTATGTTCAAAGCTCGTCATCTTAATCCTACACATAAAGATAAACTATTTTTTAAAACAATATTATTAAATTAGAAAGATAATTTTAAAGCTATAATAAGAACATAACAAAGGATAAACTTCACTTATTTAATTCATACCTGATGAAATTTTCTGAATATTATTTTTAAAATGGACCATACAGGAAAAATTTTGCTGAATTATATTTGAACATGGAAAAAAATTACAACAACATTTATTTATAGTCACTTTGGTCAGTTTTGAAAAATGGAGGAATATGACTTTAATAGATTGTTGTAATTGATAGCAACGTTTTTAAGGTAAAACGTTACTATGAGTAACGTTAATATGAGTAACGTTTTATAGCTAAATATATTCTAAATTTGCAGAAGTTGAAGGCCCGTGATTGGATTCTTAAGAAACGGGACTCAAAGTAACATTTTAAGTGTAAAACGTTACTCATAGTAACGTTTTACAGTTTAATGATTTGACTCCACCTTTGCAGGATTGGAGTCAGTGGCCCGTGATTGGATTCTCCAAAAACGTACTCTTGAGTAACGTTTTAAACCTAAAACGTTACTTGCAGTTATGTTTATGCGTTTAACATCGCCAACCCGTTAACTTTTTGTCCGTTGAATTTTTATAATGAAAATATCCTAAAACGTTACCATAAAGTACGTTTATACTAGTTTTGTGAAAAAAGTTAAAAACATATTATTTTGGTGAATTGGTTTTAAAAATAGCTCATTTTGGTCAAAATTGTGTGCTAATTGCATAAGAAGAAACACAATTAACTCTTATTCCATATTTTCCTAATTCGTCTCCAACATTCTTTGAGAGTCCCAAAGTGCATTCTTTGACGCTTTATAGGTATGTGGCGAATCAATATAAGACTCTGTCGCCATGCTTGCTGTGAAAATAATAACTCCTTTATTGGCCGGAATCATCACTCTAGCAACATGTTTCGCGAAAAAAAAAATCCCCCAACAACGTTTACATCAAACTCATTCTTAATTATATCGTAATCTACCTCTAAGATGCTGGAAATATGCTTACCAATTTACAAAGTTGCATAGTTTCTTTGGAAATTTGTGATCATCAAATTCCTAAGTTAATTAAGAAAAAAAAAAAGTATATGTGAAAGTGTGTGTATATCTATGTCGGTTATAGGGAAAAATCGAGAAAAAATAGACGAACTTCATAGCGTCAAAAAATAGGACCTCAAACACAAAATAAAAGGAGTCCATCATCTAGGTAAAATATACTATTTTTTTACTAGCTATTAAACAATTTCCTAGCAAACATAGTACATGTCTTAGACATGTGATTTGTTATATTAGCGTGAAATGTTTAGGAGACACGTTTATCAAGTGAAGATATCTCTAAATATTTATTAAAAAGGTTTAATTGTCAAACTAACATTCAATGCTAAATTTAAAGGGTTATATATACATTTAGTCATAGTTAAACAAAGACTAATTAACAAATAATATAGTTATATATAAACAAACTTAAGAAGTGTAAGGTTTTTTCTGCTCTATAAAAGTTTCAATCTCCATTCTTTAGCCCTCAAAATCCTATATTTCACTTAGTCGTCACTCTCCTTTTCTTTAGTATGTGAATGACCTTCATGAGCCTGTCGTTGTTACTCGAATGGCATTAAGTGATAAATACTTTCAAGGATGTATTTGTAGATGACTTGCAAATTGGATCCTAGTAAGAACAAACATATTCATTAGTTCAAAGATATCTTTCAGGTAAAATCCTATATGTTAATTCCAGTAAAATGTAACTTAAATTAAATTAGGTTTTACATGTTAAAACTTTAGCAACAATTCTAGTCAAGCCTTTGTTTATAGTTTTCAATATAAGTGAATAATTTTTACATTTGTATTATTAATACATATTTTTGTTTAGTGTTTTCATTGTTAGTTTTTCGATAATATAGTAAATTGAATGTTTTCTTATTCCCAAGTTAATTAGGAGTGACCGATTCATGGTTGAAAAAGATTTTAAAGATATTACTTATTGTAACGTTAGAGAATTCATAGCTATGTCCTTGTTAAGTGGTGATGAATCTTTAATTTCTATTGTAGTTTTATTAAATGTTAAGTTGGTAATCATTGATTTGTTGCTTTTACAGTCTATTGCTATTTTGTGTTATGTTTAAAGCAATATATATGTGGTGATGTTTTAGTCAAGAACAAACTGAGGAAGTGTGGTTCCTTTGGATGACTAATATTTTGGATGATTTGTTCATTTTTTTTTTTACAAGGGAGTGAAGAGATTGGTTAATTTAGTGTATACCTAGCTCTTTTCATGATATTATTATTCCATTTGAAATATGTCATTAAGTATCATACTATTAGACTTTAGTAGTACAATAATTTTCATATATATCTTTGTGTGTATGGGCACGTGTAGTCTTAATTAAAAGCATATTTGGATTGGTTTAATAAGTAGCTTGCAAGTTAAAAAAATATAAAGTCAAACTAAAATGATTTTTTAAATCAAGAAATAAAAAGTAGGGAGAGACCTACTTTTGATTTTTAGTTTTTTTTTAAAAGTCATTTTTAAATTATTACAAGTTATTTTTAACCTTGTCAATAATTTCGAAAGTTTAAAATGACTTAAGAGTAGGTTTAACCAACTTTTACGTCAATTCAATCAGGCTCTAAGTAAAACTATATATATGTGTAAAATTTATAACAATAGTTCGACACAATCCTCAACTTCAATTATATAAATTTACTTTGAAGGAGGAACAATATTTTTGTGTAAGATTGTCCCTTTAAAAGGGACTTAAGTGTTTGATTATAAAAAATAAGGATATTATTAATAAATTTTCCTAGGAATACACTGTTTAAGTCTTCTTTGTTAAGAAAAGTTTCGCTCCAAAGTGAGACTTTTCTATACAAGTCTTGATTAATCAACCCCACTCATTTTTATTAAATTCAACTTAAGTTCTATTTAAAGAGGATGTTGTTTCAAAGTTTCAAAAATTGATTCTACTTTATTTGACCCACAAATTAAAAACTTGTTCAACTAGACAAACTTATGTACTAGTAAACTTTATCATCATTTCATAATTTATACTACCCTTTCTCTCTCTCTCTCTCTTTTGCATGAGACAATAATAGTTGATTCGATCCCTTGAAACACTTTATTCTTGAGTTTCTCAATAACCCACTATACCACTCTTTTTCTACCTTAGCTTGTGCAATCCTATAGGTTACTCAATGTTTTTGATCATCATCTTTTGTGCACTTCTCATCTTGGTCAATATGAACAACCTTTCATTTTCAATATTAATTTTCTTGCATTTTCTATTTGTATCTTCATGTTCCGTTGTTACCTGATTATTTTATTTTCTGTTTTTCTTGGATGTGTTTTATTTTCTTTTCAATATTATTTGCATGAAGCACATCATCTAAATTTCTTTTCTCCAATTTTGAAATAGAAAACATATCTTTATCTCTCTACAATGAGTAAACCACATTTATAACAATCATGTTCTTGCCATCTACGTAGAATGAACCATAATATCCAATTCAATATGGAGAAAGCAGAATTTGTATAATAAATCATATCATCTGCTCTAGTAGTCATCTCAAAAGTGAGATGTGAAACCACCATTTAACTTCATTAGTCAACACTTTATAGATGTTTCATGTATTTAGCTTTGGAAAGAATGTGTCTGATTTGGTAACTTTGGTCTTAATAGAAAAGTTAAATATGAATCCACTATTAAGACTGGAGTCATCAAAACAATTATTTTTTCTCAAAGTCAAATGCATGAAATAACTAAAAAAATGTTAGACTGATGAAGTTTAGTCCATGTTGATGTATCTTCTCACTTATGGACGACTAATAGCGTGAATGATATGGTTTATTTTGTCAATTTTGTTTTGTCCACATTGAATTAGATCATGCTGACTATGGATAATTTTATGAAGATGCCAAGAATATTACTCCATATAATAAATACGATTTACTTATTGTAGAGACAGAGATATGTTCTGTTTCAAAATTGAAAAAAAAGGTCTAAATGTTATTCTTCGTGCAAATGATATTGGAAAGGAAATTGAACATACTCAAGAAATTCAAAAAAGGGATAAAGAGAAAAGGAACATTTGAAGATGCAAGAAAAATGATTGGCAAATTAGAATAAATGATTGCTAAAATTTAATAAGATGAGAAGTACGCGAAAAATGATAACAAAAACATAAAGCATTTCATATAATTGCACAAATTGAGGTAGAAAAAGTCAGTAATCAAACTAAGCAGAGAGAGTAGTACAGTGGGATATTGAGCGACAATGAAGCTCTCCAAGTGATTGAATCCACCGCTCAACTGCTATTGTTTTACGTAAAAGAAAGAGAGAAGTAAAACATGAAATGATAATAATGAATAATAGTATGTAAGTATCTCTAGTTGAACATGTTTTAAGTTTTGGAGTCCAGCAAAGTAAGATAAATTTTCAAATTTTGCAACCATCTCCTCTTTAAATAGATGTGAATATGAATATGATAAAAATGATTGGGCTGATTAACCAAGATTCATACAGAAAAGTGTCACTTTGGTGTGAAGCTTTTCCTACCAAAGGCGACTTTAACAGTTTAATCCTATCAAAATGTAACAGTAGTATATAGTTTTGATGATTGACAAAGTATTTTGATGTTTTACAAAGTAAACTATGTTGCAATGTTTATTATCATCAAAAAAGGAGAAATTGTTTGGAAATAGGAGAACATATAAATAGTTTAGATGATTAATAAACTTAACATGGTTCACTATTTGTTGTCATATATATACTCAATTAGGTTAACCAAATCCCCACACATGAATGCAAACATGTATAGATATGAAAGGTTACAGCAAAGAAGAAACTAATAAATTGCATAAATAAAGGAGAGAAAAAAGAAACAACTTAAGTAAAAAAGCAAAAAAGGGTAAAAGTATAGTCCAAAAGAGGAGTCAAAGTTTCTTATAGGATGAAACTCCTCTAGTAATCTTGATCATGACATATATGGTAAGTATATATAATGCAAAAAAAAAAAAAACCATGAAGATTTTACTAATATCGAACATGAAGTTCTTTTCAAAATTAAAAATAAAATAAGACTTAAAACTTAAAATAAATGATTTAGGATGACAAAGATGATAACTGATATACAATATAAATTACATACATTTAGTTGTTGTAAAGTCTTCACATGTGTTTTTCTTCCATCATTTAATCATAATTATAATCATTATGTGCTTATGACGTGTGCTTCTTTGCATAATTTTTTTACATCTAATAAGCATGTTAGAAAAAAACTTGAAGTGTTATGGAGCTTCAAAGTCTAAATAGAGGAATGAGGAATGTGATCAAGATTGAGTTTGAGATTCAAGAGTCAAATGCACATACAAAATATCAAGAAAATTGTGACAGTTCTACAAAAAGTCGCATGCGGCGTGATCATGATACCAGGCTTGTGCTATATCAAGAGGAAAACATGGATCAAGGCTAAAAAGGGAGTTACCTGTGTCAACCGTGGCCACACTACCCATCCAGGTTCGTGTGGTATTTATGAAAAATGAGAAATAATCTTAAGAGTGGGAAGAAATTGTCTTACAATATTCTTGTTTTTAAGGTGAGCTCATGTATCTAAAGACTAGTAAAAATCACTTATCCTATGAATTGAGTACTTACCAACTGGCCAAACATGGTGGTTTGTCTTCAACACGATAAACCTAAGTTTTTCTTTTTAGCTGACACATGGAAATCACCTGACGGCAAGTGTTTAAATGTAAGACAATCCGAACAAGAGTTCCTATGGTTATTGTCCAAGTAATCGTAAAAGAGATCTTATATATGCTCAAAGTGAGAAAATTCATGAGAACAACAAGTATTGAGGAAGAAGCAATTGCAATCAAAAATGTCATTTATCATTGTGTTTCTATCCGTCTCAATAAGATGATTTTTAAGATTGATTCTTTAGGCATTACTCGAGTTCTTTCTGAAATTTGGGAGATTCCGTGGTAGATTTCAAATATAATAGGACACATTAAGTATTTAGCTCAGATATGTCATGCAAGACTTCAACATGTTTTCAGAAAGGAAATTCGTTAGCAAATTAAATTACTAATGTAGCCTTTGAAAGGAATGGACGACAATGTTTTTTCCACCTTCTGTAAACTTCCAAGCAATGAAAGAAAGATTATTAACTTAGAAAAGTCGCGAATACCTAATTTGAGAATACAACCTAAAGAAATAAAGGAGAATGACAACATACAGGAACACTATTTCATTATTACATGATATTAAACAATAGTATATATCATGAAAATGCGGTTTCAGAAGATTTGAAACAAAAAACAATTAGGCACAATATTCATACACAATTGAAGATTTCTTTTTAATTATTCAAAATTTACTAGATCAAAAGTGTTGCTTCTTATAAAAAGAATTAGCCACTTTATAGAATATCATCAAAACGGAAAAACCTGAAGAATCAACGACCAACTCTTTTTGGGATTCCATATAGAAAATGCAGCATCAAGTCTCACTGGAGGAACATATCCAGCCAAATCATCTCTCTCCTTACAAAAAGAAGTTTGTTGGTTAGAATTGGACAATAAAGACATCAAAGAATTTTTTTTAAAAAAAAATAGCACTCACCTTGCTCTGCTCAGATCTAGAAATGTGATTAGGAATGACAACAAACAAGGGAAGAAGAAATGAGATATCATTAGCTACATACAAGGAATTGAGAGCTAGAACACAAGACTAGGCACCTTTACAATAACTATCTTAGGAAACTGCTAAACCACCAGATTAAGTCTCCATCATTGAAATGGAGGAAGTAGAAAATTGAGTGAAAGAAATGAAGAACAAAATACAAAAAACATACCTCTAAAAGCTAAGCAAAAATGATATTAGAAAGAATAAGAAAAAGGGGTTAATGACCCACAACAAATGGGGAAGGAAGGTGGAATTCCACAAAGCTCCAAACAGCAATATGGGGGACAAGGAATATGAGCCCTTATTTTTTAGGATTTTTTTATAAATACCTAAAGGTTCATTTTAATGGGCTGGGCTTTTCCTTTTTGGGCTAATCCTTTTTTTGGATTGGCCCATTCTTGTACATACTTTATTAATAAATAAAAATTGTTTGATACTCCAAATTAATTTTTATAAAAAAAATCAAATGCTTATAAAGTGTTAACATAATTCAGAAAAGATGTTTTATAATAATGCAACATATCCAAATTAACTATAGATATAAAAATTATATTAAAATCAATATTTTTAAACCCTTCTTGTAACCAATCAAATTCATATTTAATGCAACATCTATGAATAACATTAATATGTATACATTATATTTAATTTATATCATATTTGGGTCCTTTAACATATTCTAATCATGATTTTTTAAGTTTGAAGCTTTTGAAATTATGGTTAATTTAAAATTAATAGTGATAATTACACTTGAATTTATTAATTTGCATGCACATGTAAATATATTTTTTTAGATATTATTCAGCTTATAACAAAATGAATATATTTGAATTTAGACATGTTTGTATGAAAGTTATTTTTAACCTTGTCAAATAATTTCAAAAGTTTAAAATGACTTAAGAGTAGGTTTAACCAACTTTTACATCAATTCAATCAGACTCTAAGTAAAACTATATATATGTGTAAAATTCAACACAATAGTTCGACACAATCCTCAACTTCAATTATATAAATTTACTTTGAAGGAGGAACAATATTTTTGTGTAAGATTGTCCCTTTAAAAGAGACTTAAGTGTTTGATTATAAAAAATAAGGATATTTTTATTACATTTTCCTAGGAATACACTGTTTAAGTCTTCTTTGTTAAGAAAAGTTTCGCTCCAAAGTGGGACTTTTCTATACAAACCTTGATTAATCAACCCCACTCATTTTTATGAAATTCAGCTTAAGTTCTATTTAAAGAAGATGTGGTTTCAAAATTTTAAAAATTGATTCTACTTTGTTAGATCAACAAATTAAAACTTGTTCACCTAGACAAACTTATGTACTAGAAAAAATTATCATCATTTCATAATTTATGCTACACTATTTCTCTCTTACTTTTTTGCATGAGACAGTAGTAGTTGAGTGGTTGATTCTATTGCTTGGAAAACTTTATTCTTGTGTCTTTCAATATCCCACTGCTTCACTCTAGTAATTTTGTTTGATTTATGACTTTTTCTACCTCAAGCTTGTGCAATCCTATAGGTTATTCAATGTTTTTGTTTATCATCTTTTGTGAACTTCTCATCTTGTTCAATATCAACAACCTCTCATTTTCAATATATGAATCAATTTCTTGCATTTTCTATTTGTCTCTTCATGTTCCATTGTTACCTTATTATTTAATTTATTTTTTTCTTGGTTGTCTTTAATTTTCTTTCAATATTATTTACACGAAAAACATCATCTAAATTTCTTTTCCCCAATTCTCAAATAAAACACATATCTTTATCTCTTTGCAATAAGTAAACCATATTTATAACAATCATGTTCTTAGCATCTACGTAGAATGAACCATAATATCCAATTCAATATGGAGAAAAGCAGAATTTGTATTATAAATCATATCATTCACTCTAGTAGTCATCTCAAAAGTGAGATGTGGCACCAAAATTGGACTTCATCAGTCAACACTTTTTAGACGTTTCATGTAATTAGCTTTAGAAAGAATGTTTTTGATTTGGTATCTCCGGTCTTAATAGAAAAGTTAAACATGAATCCATTATTAAGACTAAAGTCATCAGAACAATTATTCTTCTCAAAGTCAAATGCATGAAATAACTAAAAAAAATGTTAGACCGATGAAGTTAAGTCCATGTTAATGTCTCTTCTCACTTATGGACGACTAATAGCATGAATGACATGATTTATTTAGTCAATTTTGTTTTGTCCACGGTGAATTAGATCGTGTTGATTATGTATAACTTTATGAAGATGACATCCTTATAATAAAATACGATTTACTTATTGTAGAGACAGAGATATGTTCTGTTTCAGAATTGGAAAAAAAGGTCTAAACGTTATTCTTCGTGCAAATGATATTGGAAAGCAAATTGAACATACTCAAGAAATTCAAAAAAGGGATAAAGAAACAAGGAACATTTGAAGATGCAAGAAAAATGATTTGAAAATTAGAATAAGAGGTTGCTAAAGTTGAATAAGATGAGAAGTAGGCAAAAAACGATGAACAAAAACATAAAGCATTTCATATAATTGCACAAATTGAGGTAGAAAAAGTCAGTAATCAAACTAATCAGAGAGAGTAGTAAAGTGGGATATTGAGCGATAATGAATCTCTCCAAATGATTGAATCCACCACTCAACAGCTACTGTTTTACGTAATAGAAGAGAAAAGTAAAACATGAAATGATGATAATGAATAATAGTATGTAAGTATCTCTAGTTGAACATGTTTTACGTTTTGGAGTCCAGCAAAGTAGGATAAATTTTCTAATTTTACAACCATCTCCTTTTTAAATAGATGTGAATATAAATTTGATAAAAATGATTGGGTTGATTAACCAAGATTCATATAGAAAAGGGTCACTTTGGTGCGAAGTTTTTCCTATCAAAGGTGACTTTAACATTTTAGTCCTATAAAAATGTAACAGTAGTATGTAGTTTGATGATTGACAAAGTATTTTGATGTTTTACAAAGTAAACTATGTTGCATTGTTTATCGTCATCAAAAAAGAAGAAATTGTTTGGAAATAGGTGAACATATAAATAGTTTAAATGATTAATAAATTTAACGTGGTTCACATAAATGCAGACAACATGTATAGATATGAGATATTGCAGCAAAGAAGTAACTAATAAATTGCATAAATAAAGAAGCAAAAAAGGGTAAAAGTTTAGTCCCGAGAGTAATCAACGTTCCTAATAGGGTGAAACTCCTCTAGTAATCTTGACCATGACATATATGGTAAGCATATATAATGAAAAAATAAACCATGAAGATTTTACTAATATCGAACATGAAGTTCTTTTCAAACAAATTAAAAAATAAAATAAGACTTAAAACTAAAAATAAATGAATTAGGATGACAATGATGATAACTGACATACAATATAAAATAGATACATTTAGTTGTTATAAAGTATTCATATGTGTTTTCTATCATTATTTAATCATTATTATAATCATTATGTGCTTATGATGTGTGTTTCTTTGCATAATTTCTTTTTACAGCTAATAAGCATGTTTGAAAGAAAATTTAAAGTGTTATGGAGCTTCTAAGTCGGAATAGAGGAACGAGGAATGTGATCAAGATTGAGTCTGAGATTCAAGAGTCAAATGGACATACAAAATATCAAGAAAATTGCGACAGTTCACAACAAGTTGCATGCGGCTTGATCATGCTACAAGGCTTTTGCTGCATCAAGAGGAAAACATGGATCAAGGCTAAAAAGGAAGTTACCGGTGTCAACTGTGGCCATACTACCCATCCCTGTTCGTGTGGTATTTTTGAAAAATGAGAAATAATCTTAAGAATGGGAAGAAATTGTCTTATAATAGTCTTGTTTTTAAGGTGATCTCATGTATCTAAAGACTAGTAAAAATCACTTATTCTATGAATTGAGTACTTACCAACTGGCCAAACATGGTGGTTTTGCTTCAAAACTATAAACCTACATTTTTCTCGAATGGAGGAAATTCAAAACAAGAGTTCCAATGGTTATTGTTCAAGTAATCATAAAAGGATCTTATATATGCTCAAGTGGAGGAAATTCAATAAGATGATTTTTAAGATTGATTCTTTAGGCATTATTCGAGTTCTTTCTTAAATTTGGGAGATTCCGTGGTAGATTTCAACTATAATAGGACACATTAAGTATTTAGCTCAGATATGTCATGCAAGACTTCAACATGTTTTCAAAAAAGGAAATTAATTAGCAAATTAATTTACTAATGTAACCTTTGAAAGGGTTGGACGACAATGTTTTTTCACCTTCTATGAACTTCCAAGCAACGAAAGAAAGATTATTAACTTAGAAAAGCCGTTAATACCTAATTTGAAAATACAACCTAGAGAAATAAAACAAAATGACAACATAGAGGAACACTTTTTCATTTTTACATGATATTAAACAGTAGTATATATCATGAAAATGGGGGTTTAAGAAGATTTGAAACAAAAAAAAAATTGGCTCAATATTCATACACAATTGAAGATTTCTTTTCAATTATTCAAAATTTACTAGATCAAAAATGTTACTTCTCTGTTTATAAAAAAAATTAGTCACTTTAGAGAATATCATCAGAAAGGAAAAACCTGAAGAATCAACGACCAACTCTTTTTTAGATTCCACATAGAAAATGCAGCATCAAGTCTTACTGGAGGAACATATCCAACCAAATCATCTCTCTCCTAACAAACAGAAATTTGTTGGTTAGAATTGGACAATAAAGACATCAAAGAATTTTTTTTAAAAAAAATAGCATTCACCTGGATCTGCTCAGATCTAGAAATGTGATTAGGAATGATAACAAAAAAGGGAAGAAGAAATGAGATAACATTAGCTACTTACAAGGAATTGAGAGCCAGACCACAGGACTAGGCACCTCTACAAGAACTATCTTAGGCAACCACTACATCACCGGATTAAGTCTCCATCATTGAAATGGAGGAAGTCAAGAATTGAGGGAAATAAGTGAAGAACAAAATACAAAAACATACCGCTGCAAGCTAAGCAAGGATGATACTAGGAAGAAGAAGAGAAAGGGATTAATGACCCACAACAAATGGGGGTGGAAGGTTGAATACCACAAATCTCTAAGCAGCAATATAGGGGACACTGAAGAGGAGCACAAATTTATGAATCCTTATTTTCTAGGGTTTCTTTATAAATAGCTAAAGGTTCATTTTAATGGGTTGGGCTTTTTCTTTTTGGGCTAATCCTAGTTTTGGATTAGTCAGTGCTTGTACATACTCTATTAATAAATAAAAGGAAAATTTAGCTAACTAGTCAAAAAAATTAACTTATTTAGTGATAATATCCATACTTTAATAATATTAGTAAACATGTCAAAAATGTCATAATTTTAAAAATAAATAATTGTTTTGATATTATTAATATTTTATCTCTCATTATTTACACCTTTTTTTCTTTCTCATATATTACACATTTTCCTATATTTATGTAATTGGAAAGATATTAATGTCATTTTAATTTCTCTCTCTCTTTTCTTAAGCTTATTAATTTCTCTCTCTTATTTTCTTCCTAATCAAATTCCCAGATTTTTTTCTCTTTTCTTATTCTTCTTTTCAATTTCTCTATCTAACATTCTTCCAAATCAATTCCACAGATTTTCGATTCAATATATTAATATTTTCTATTATTCTCATTTAATTTTGTTGCAAAATTTGATTTGAAGATTAACATTGATTTGGATTTTTTTTTTCTCCAGATGCCTTATTTATTTACTTACTGATTTTAATTTTTTTTTTTTATTTTGTTGTTGTTCTTAAAACATTTTTTAGGATTTCAGACTACATAATTCTCTCTTCAATGGACGTTTTCAAGAGAGTTACTAGAGGTATTGGACAAAATAATCAAAGTTCTTCCGATTTTTCATCATTTAATTTTTTTTCACTCAAGAATTAAACAACAATATAGGTTCCGCTTCTAAATCTAAGGAGGATATACGACGGGGAAAAATGTCTGAATCTGTCGATGTGCAAAATCCCACACAAATTAATAACCATGAAGTTGAAGAAGACCAATTTGTTGGAGAAGAGCTTTTTTTTTTTTGCATGTTCTGTGTCTTGCATGTTTAATTTAATTTGTTTAGTAATTTTTAAGATTCAAAAAAAATCATGTTACAATGCGTTTGAAAGTATATATGGAATTTTTATTATGTTATAGTTAGTATTTATTTTTGTATTTTATATATTTATTGTATTTTGTGTTCTATTTTTTTGTGTTAGTTATGTCAATGTAACACATTATATGAGTTTGATTGTGTATATTTCATAGTTTTGATGTTTTTTGTATTCATAAATTTGGAAGTGTATATTGAGTTTTTGTTGTTGTTTTAGTCAGTATGTATTTTTGTATTTCATTGTTTTATTGTATTTTGTATTCATAGATTTGGAATCGCATTTCATTTATTTAATTTATTTTGTATTCTGTTTTTTTTATATAGTTATGTCAATGTACCACAGTTAGTATTTATTTTTGTATTTTATAGTTTTATTGTTTTTTGTATTCATAAATTTGGAAGTATATATTGAATTTTAATACTGTTTTAGTCAATATATATTTTTACAATTAATAGTTGTATTCATTCAAAAATTATGTTGCATTGTTTCTAAATTTGACATTTTCTTTTAATTTGTATTTGTTCTAAAGGTATGTCAACTAGTTATGTATTTTATTTAAGAATGAGTACACCAAATATTCAATTATTTCTTTTCAATTTTATATTTCATTCACTTTTTCATCATACTAATTTTTTGTATTTTATATATTATTATATAAAATTCAAAATAAAAACTAGAATAAATAGAAATACAAATAAAATACATATTGAAATGAATACATACAAGAATTTCGAAGAATAAAATAACTATATAGGGAAAAAATATATAAAAATGCAAATACATTTCCCTAAATAAAAAGAGTTTGATGCTCCAAATTAAATTTTTTTAAAGAAAACCAAATTGTTGTTAATTGTAAACACAATGCCAATTGTTATGACCAACTGCCATCGCAATCAGTTTTAACATAGTAATAATTAATTATTAGTTAACCAAATTAACTATAGGTATAAAAACTATACTAAAATCAAGATTTTCAAGCCTTTCTTCTAACTAATCAAACTCATATTTAATGTCACTATGCATATATTATATTTAATTCATATCATATTTGAGTCCTCTAACATATTGTAAATACGATTTTAAGTTTCAAGCTTTTGAAATTACAGTTAATTTAGAAGTAATAGTGGTAATTGAATTCAAATTTATTAATTTGCATGCACCTGTTATTATATATTTATAGATATTATTCGGCTTATAACTATAAAAAATATATTTGAATTTAGACATGTTTGCACGAGAATTATCCTTTTTCATATCATTACATGTGAGACACTAAATCGAGTCAAATAAAGTTACTAAAGTATTATATTATGATCCAATAACTTGTGCAGATTCAATATAATTACTGATATTATTCCTCAAAATTTTGAATTAAACCTTTTCATATACAAATGCTCCTTAACTAATTGCAATATAATGAAAGCAAAGATTTTTTTTTACCACGAAACAACTTCCTTTTCAACATATGTATTCTTTGATAATTTAGAGTTCTTATTATTAGTTTTTTTTGTAATATATTAAATTATTTAGAGTTTAATTTTGAGTTAGTTGGCAAAGGACAAATACATAATTGAAAGAGACTTTATATATACTATTTATTATAAATTTAGGAGAAAATGGTCAAAAGTCCCCCTAATCTATATTTGGATTTTTAACTACACATATACTTTAACTTTACAAGAGATCAATGTAATGACCCGGAAGGTCAATCGTTTAACATTAATTAATTAATTGTTGGGTCATTGAAGATAAATGACTTAATCGATAGTTAGTGGACTAAAGTGATCAAATATTTAAGACCTTATACCATTAGGGACATGTATTAAATATAAATTAGTGGATTTTGTAGGTTTTAATAAACAGTTGATTTTTTTTGTTATAAAAAAAAGAGTCAGGAAACACATATGAAAAAGGGAGAGGAATAACGTAACCTAGCGCAGCATCGATCATAGAGAAAAAAAAAGAAATTTGCAAATACCCGTCGGCCATTTTCAATTCTTGGTAGGCATGCATTAATTACTTTATATTACTTAATATAAAATATAGAGAATGTTTAACTGTTGGTTATATACAGAATTGGAAGAAGTATATTGGTTGGAAGTTTTGGGCGGGGGTGGGGGGGTGGGGGGACAAGATGGAGGTTGACATTAATATTGAATTCATTCTTTCTGTAGAGAAAAATAGATTGAAATTTATTAGATACTTTATTTATACATTTGGATGGATGGGTTATTAGTTAGGGTGTGTGTGTTAAGAGAATTGTCATGGTTGCTGGTACTGATTCGTAACCGGCTGGCTTTCATTTTTAACTAATACCATTTTATCATCATGTTATAAAGTAAAGATTAATATATTGAGATAGGTAATTAGATATTAGGGATATCATATTACTTGAATATGTTGAAGTTTTAATAATTGGAGGAACTAATACTTTTCCTGATTAAATGCTCTTGTGCAAATATTTCATTAATGGATATATACATATATGTTATGATATTATAATTGAATGGAAAGAAAAGAGATTTGGAATAAGGAATTGGCAGTGATATACGTATTGGAGTTGGGTATGAAAGTGGTTGATTTCTATTGTCTAATCATTGTCCAATGATGACATAATCATTGGACAATGATGGCCTAATCATTGGACAATGATCCTTGGGAAGTTTAAGTAGGAATAGTGATAGTTAATTAGTAAATGTAAGAGTTATTGGTGCACGCATATTTTATCTTTGTTCTTTCTTTTAAAATTTATATATATATATATATATATATATATATACATATATATAATGGTACCACATTATTATTAAAGTTATGATTCAGTGATAGAACTAATCAAATATTAGATTAATATGTTATATGAATATCATTAAATTTATGATATTAGGGAATTATGCTTTAACCTTAGAATTGAAATTTGGAAATATGAGAATTTATATGTTAACTTAATTATAAATTTGGATAAGCTTTTCGGTTTAAGCTAAACTTATATAACATAAGTGTTGTTAGTGTCGGAATATAATTCTGACTATATAGTTGAATAGATTGCATTGGTTTGAAAGCTCAACGAAAGGGGAAAACTCAAGTCTCGGAGTGACTGTTCGTTGATTTGAGGCAAGTGGGTTTCTAAACTCTTGTTAAGCGTATGAAATTCGTGTATTTACTTGTGTGGTGTTGAGAATGATTTGGAGACTTGTTGCTTATTTGTTGGTATTGTAATCCTTGTTGCAAATTGTACTTTGTTATCAAATGGCTATCTCCTCATTTTTTTTCTTTAGTATGTAATTCACACTGCATTTGAAATATGGTTATGATAAGAGTTATGTGATAAGAGGATGTACCATTCGAGGGTCGTATTGCGCGCCATGATGGATATTATATTTCGAGGGACGTATCGCGCGCCGCGATGGTTACTATTATCGAGGGTCGTGTCGTGCGCCGCAATAGATGCATAGACAGATATGTCCCCCATGGGTCCCGGACTGAGAGACAGCGGGTGTGTATCGTTAGGAAAGACATGCATCACTATATTTGACATAGCATCTCATGGCATTGCACATTTTTATTATTGATGAACTTGAACACGTGTTTTGCTCATCTTGTGAGTGTTTCTCTATGAAGCTTGTGACTGTTGAATATTGAGTTGTTATTGAGAATGTGTAAACTGATAGAGTGTGGTTATTGAGTTGTGTGTTCCGTAAACTGTAAACTGTTAGGCTGTATCGTGGAGGTTTAGATAGGGTGTAAGGAGTGCCGTATTTTGTTCACTTAACTTGTGTTTAGAGATTTGCTTGTTGGGTACCACGTGGTTTGGTACTCACCCCTTGCTTCTACAAATTTTTGTAGGTTATGAGCCCGGATCTTCGTGATACTTGTCATTCTTTTCGTTTTCGAGGCATCTTGTGGAGGGTTGTGAGGTAGTTGCTTGTCATCTCAGCGAACTTTCCTACTCCAGTTTATCACTTTGTTTTTACTTGAAAGACAACTTCATTTTAGACTTCTATTTTATTTCAATTCTAATATTTACATTAGAGGCTTGTGCACGTGACAACCTGGTTTTGGGGATTGAATTAATATGACTTAGTTTCATAATAGAAATTGTTGTTGGATTGTCATTTACTTCCGCACTTTGTTAGATATTGGGTTTTAGACTGACTTGTCTTG